GTCTGCAACAGGAGTGCCCCTAACTCAGTAGCAGGCGAACACGGCCATGGGTCAAGACACCCTGCTTCATGGGGAAACCTTGCTTGTCGTTCCCTCCACTGATTCAGACCACGTAACCCTTCCATTCCTCACCCAGAGCGTCGGCAGCAACTTCCCTGGCCACACGCTTCTCATAGGAAGTACGAAGTTTGCGTTCATCGTCCACTTCAATGAGTTTCTGGCAGCCAGTGGCTGGGAAGGAGATGTTCAGCTTCATGGTGAAGCAGCTGATTGCCTCCCAGGCGCCACGAAAAAGAGCTCTATGTATTTTTAGTTGGCCAATTAATTTCTTTCTATTTATAGTAGAGACGGGGTCTCGCTCTTGCTCAGGCTGGTTTCGAACCCCTGACCTTGAGCGCTCCTCCCGCCCTGGCCTCCCAGAGTGCTAGGATTACAGGCGTGAGCCACCGCGCCCGGCCGATTTTAATATTTAGTTTCGTTTTTTTTTCTGTGAACATTCTGTTTATATCTTTTACCCATTTTTTAAAAATTGGGGTTTCCTTCTTTTTGCTGAGGAGTAAGAAAGCTTTTGCAAACAGAGGGGATGGGCATATTATCTGCACCATATGTCATGACCAAATTACTTGTTAGCTCGATTCCAGGCTACCGTGGCTACAGCAATGAATGAGACAGACAAAACTCCCTGATCTCTGAGACCTGATGCTCTACTGAACAGGCAGACCAGAGATAATTAAAGAAGATGTATAATATGTCATGTGCTGATAATGAGTGCTTATGGGGAAAAATAAAACAGGCAAGGGCAGGGAGACATGGGGCCAGCGTATGCATGGGGGGAGGGCGTTATAATCTTTACAGTGTGCCAAGTAACGTCTTCATGGAGGGGATGGTTGAGCAAAGACCCAAAAGAGGGAAGAGAGTGACCATGTGACTATTTGAGGAAACAGCATTCCCAGCAGAAGGAACGGCTAGTGCAAAGGCCCTGGGGCCACCTGGCATGTTTGAGGAATAGCAGAGACCAGTGTGACTGGGGCAGAAGGAACAAGGGAAGGTTGAGAAGAAATTGGGAGAAAAAGCAGATGGCAAGAGGGAAGAGGTGGTGGCCAGATCTTGCAGGTCACTGAGGTCATTGAGATTATTGAGGCCAGGGGCATTATAGGAGTTTGCCAGTCAGGCAGCGTGTTGGTGTTGGATTTCTGAGAGATGAGAGGAAGTAATTATTTCCCTCCTGCCTCTAACATTTGGGGTGCATCAATGAGCCCAACAGACATCAATACAAATAAAATGAAATGTCGTGAGTGCTGGGAGTCGGTAAGAGAGGACCGACACCATGTTGGGAGTCTGTTCTGTTTGAGGCTGCGTCTCCAGGATCTAGAACAAGGTTCCATGGCACCACTCTTGCTAAACTATCCTCTTGGGAGGCTGCATTCATATATACCTTTGCCAGGAGGAAGAAGAGTATGCCTGTTTCCCCCACTCTTCACAGCTCTGTGCAACTGATCTGGTTTTTTTTTTTTTTTTTTTTTGAGACAGAGTCTCACTCTGTTGCCCAGGCTAGAGTGAATGCCATGGTGTCAGCCTAGCTCACAGCAACCTCAAACTCCTGGCTCAAGCCATCCTCCTATCTCAGCCTCCCGAGTAGCTGGGACTACAGGCATGCGCCACCATGCCCGGCTAATTTTTTCTATATATATATATTAGTTGGCCAATTAATTTCTTTCTATTTATAGTAGAGATGGGGCCTCACTCTTGCTCAGGCTGGTTTCGAACTCCTGACCTGGAGCAATCCTCCTGCCTCAGCCTCCCAGAGTGCTAGGATTACAGGCGTGAGCCACTGCGCCCGGCCCCTGTGCTGTTCTTGATAAGCTCAGTCCCAGATGTTTTTATTATCTTTTTATTATTGCTAGAGTGAATATGATGATCTTCTCTTCTGTTTGGTTTGTAAGCCAGTTCTCTGTGTATTGGCATCTTGTTACTTTGAGGATTTTGATTTTGCAACCTAGAGCCACCTTGCTCAATCCTCATTCCTTCTAATAGTTTGTGGGTTGATTCTCTTTCTAGGTACACAATTTTATCATTTCTAAAAGATAGTCACACTTCCTCTTTTCTAATGTTTATGCTCTTATTTCTTTCTTCTATATAATGACATGAGTCATGCTTCTGGAATCTGGGCCCAGCACTTGAAGTTTCTGCTTTCTGGTGGGGGCCTGCCCGGCCTTGAAACTCTCAAGATTGTAGCCAAGGGTGCTTTGCCATGAAGGACATCGGTCCTTTTTCTCAGGCTCGATGGAGTTACTACATTGGGAGCCATTTTTTGGGAGGGTGGCTTTCTGACTCTTCAAGTCTTTCCAGATATCTCCACTACAATGAACATAAAATTAGCAATCATATTATGGGGGTTGACACACATTCTGGAAAGCCTTATATATAACATGCTCAATAGCATATTAAAATCATGGCTGGGCATGGTGGCTCACTCCTATAATCCTAGCACTCTGGGAAGCTGAAGTGGGCAGATCATTGGAGGTCAGGAGTTCGAGACCAGCTTGAGCAAGAGAGAGAGACCCCATCTCTACTAAGAAAAGAAAGAAATTAGCTGGACAACTAAAAAATATACATAGATATATAAAAAAATTACGAGCCTGAGCAAGAGCGAGACCCCATCGCTACTAAAAATAGAAAGAAATTAGCTGGACAACTAAAAATATATAGAAAAAATTAGCCGGGCATGGTGGTTCATGCCTGTAGTTCCAGCTACACAGGAGGCTGAGGCAGGAGGATCCCTTGAGCCCAGGAGTTTGAGGTTGCTGTGAGCTAGTCTGATGCCACAACACTCTAGCCTGGGCAACAGAGCGAGACTCTGTCTCAAAAAAAAAAAAAAAATACAATGAAATAAAATAGGGCTTCTGGAAAAGTTCAGATTAGGGTAGGTCACCCAAAGACTATGCAACCACTTCCAAACCTTTCATGGTTTTTAAAACGTCTGAAAATTCTTCGATGTTCTTATCAAAATGCAGATTTCATGGTAGGAAGCTAAAGAATATTTATAGTTATAAATATTCATATTTTATTATTCAACAAAAATGTATATGGCACTTACGCCATGCCAGATTGTGTTCTAAACACCTGGCAAATATTAACTCATTTTATTTGCACAACAACCCTCTGAGGTCGCTACTGTTATATTTTCTGCCCCATTTTACAGATGAGGAAACTGAGGCACAGAGACGGGAAGCGCCTTCCCTAAGGTCACACAGCCGGTCTGAAGCAGGACGGTTGAAAGTCAGGCAGTTAGGCTGCAGAACTGACAGTCTGAGACTTTGTAATACTGCTCTGTGCTGTGTGCACGACAAATGACATTTTGTCATGCAGATGCCCTTTATTTTTAGAGGCAAGGTCAGCCATTGAGGATTGGGCCCCGGTCGGGGAACGTGGAGGCTGGAGGAGAGTGGACAGTTGGAAACCTCTGTCTTGGAGAGGAAAATTTATTAGGAAAAAGGAGGGCCTCACGTTTGGGGTTTGTATTGCCAGGTTTCCAGTGAAATCCAGGAAGCTGGCTGTGCTGCTTGCTTCGTGGCAGGGAAGGGTTTGCGCGCGGGGGAGGGAGGCGGGGACAGGAAGGGAGGTGCGTGGCCCCTTCGCCAGTCCAGGGTCTCTCTGCAGATCCAGAGGCGCCCTGCTTCCTCGGGGCTCATGGGGGGGGGCTTGGATGTGGCTCTGAGTGGCCCGTCTGTCCTTCCAGCCGGCCACCTGGTGCCCTGTGCGCTAGGCGCTGGGAACTAGCACCGCCAGATCAGGCTGAGCGGGAGGGAAGGCTCTGGAAGGGGGTTCACAGGCCGGGGCCAAAGGACACGAGTTCACATTCCAGGATCTGGAGCCCAGAGGCAGGGGCGAGGAGTTGCGGGCACTGGCAGGAAAGCAGCGCCCAAGACTTTAGCTTCGGGCACCAGAGCAAGCAGGGCCTGCCGTGAGCCACCTCCCCATGACATACATTATCTGGAGGCTGAATAACGCCCCCCCCATGTCAGACAACCATGTCCCCATCCCTAGAACCTGCAAATGCATGACCTCGGGTGGCAAAAGGGACTCTGCAGATGTCAGAAAGTTAGGGATCTTGGCCGGGGAGGTGGCTCACGCCTGTAATCCTAGCACTCTGGGAGGCTGAGGCGGGTGGATTGCTCGAGGTCAGGAGTTCGAAACCAGCCTGAGCAAGAGCGAGACCCCGTCTCTACTATAAATAGAAAGAAATTAATTGGTATAGAAAAAATTGTAGCCGGGCATGGTGCGCATGCCCTGATAGTTCCCAGCTACTCGGGACTGAGGCAGGAGGATCACTTGAGCCCCAGGAGTTTGGAGGTTGCCGTGAGCTAGGCTGACGCACGGCACTCACTCTAGCCTGGGCAACAAAGCGAGACTCTGTCTCAAAAAAAAAAAAAAAAAGAAAGTTAGGGATCTTGTAATGGGGAGGGGACACTAGATTATCCACATGGGCCCAAGGACAAAGCCCTTAGAAAGGAGAGAGGGAAGTGGAAGGTCAGAGGGGAGGAAGGGAATGGGCGCCCACGGGAGCAGTTCAGAGTGACCGGAGCAGGGGCCGTGAGCCAAGGAATGCAGGCGGCCTCTAGAAACCGGGAGGGACAGGACACAGATTCCTCCCCCAGCGCCTCTGGGGGGCACAGCCCTGCTGACCCATTTTCAGCTTGCAACCTCCAGACCTGTGGGACAACACATTTGTGTCCCTTTAAGCCACTACATTTGTGGTCGTTTGGAACAGCAGCAGAAACTTGAAACGGCCAGTTCCTTCATCTCCCCGGGCCTCGGTTTCTCCATCTATACATTGGGGTGGTCATGCATCCTGGCAGGGTGGCACTGAGGGTTTGTCTCGGGGGTACAGTGAAAGCTCGAGGGCTGGTGGCCAAACATTAGCTTTAGTTACCTTCAAAGAAGAGACAAGCCATTTATTTATCCAACAAATGTTTACTGAGCATCTACTACGCTCCGGGCATTGTTCTGCGTGCTGGAGGCGTGGCTCGTTGTCTGGGGGCTTGTGGACCGCAGTGAAGACTTCAGCTTTCATTGAGAGTGGCCAGGAGCTGTGGGAAGGCTCTGAGCCGAGGAGGGACAGAACCCGAGTTCCATTTTAACAGATTCCCTGTGGCTGCCGAGTGGGGACAAGAGAGCCCAGTGAGGACACAGTCTCGGGGCATAATTACGGGTTCGTTGGAACAGTAAGTGGGTTCGTGTTGGGAGAGCAGGTGCCCGGCACAGATGCCGGATACGAATTCTTACTGCTGTCACTAGTGTCACTGCTATTTTCCCCTTGTCACACAACATTGCAGGGCCACAGCTTACCATGGGGTGCCTCTGAGGCTCAAGTCCCATACCCCAGGGAGAGGGACCTTCCTTGTCTCAGACTGCCCCCTCCTCATCTCATGCATGACGCTGAACTCCAGTGGTCACCGTGGCAACCCGATTGTCATTCCCAACCCCCTTCTGCATTAGCCTCTTCTACTGCAGAGGCTGCGACCAGGGACTCATTTTCTCAGCATTCTTTACTACGAGTGACAGTCATGTCACACCTTGATGGTCAACCAGATGGAAGCAGAAGTCATATGGGAGGCTGATACCTTTTGTGTCCCTGGTAATGAGGTCCAGAGGGGGCTTCCGCGTTCCTTCTTCCTTGAATGTGGGTGTGATAGCCAGCGCTGGGGCAGTCATTTTGCGGTCATGAAGCAACAGACATGAAAGTCAACATGCTAAGGATGATGAGACAGAGAGACAGAAGGAACCTGGGACATTAGATGTCATTGAACCAATACCTGAAACCCTCTTCTTCTAGACTTTTCATTATGTGAGAAAAATAAACTACCTATTTGTTTATATCATTGTGTCCTGTTACTTGCAGTCACGAATGTTCTTTACTGATTCACTTCCAGAAGGGACACGAGGCACAGGAAGCCATGGGTGACAATCGGCATTGCACGGCCAGTTGGTGGAGGTGCCAGGGCAGGATTGGGGAGAGGTGGGGGGGGGCAATGTGGGCTCGCAACCTAAAGACCAGAGAGAAATGGCTTCAATTCTTCAGAAAAATGAGGCCGGGCGCGGTGGCTCACGCCTGTAATCCTAGCACTCTGGTGAGGCCGAGGCGGGCAAAGACGGGCGGATTTGCCTCGAGGTCAGAGTTCGAAACAGGCCCTGAGCAAGAGCGAGACCTCCGTCTCTAACTAAAATATAAAAGAAATTAATCTCGCAACTACAATATAACTAGAAACAAATTAGCCGGCATTGCGGTGGCACATTGCCATTGAGTACCAGTTACTCGGGAGGTCTGAGGCAGGATGTCTGAGCCCAGGAGTTTGAGGTTGCTGTGAGCTAGGCGATGCCCATGGCACTCACTCAGCCTGGACCGCAACAGAGCGAGACTCTGTCCTCAAAAAGTAATAATACAAAAAAGACACATTTATATACCTTCAATACATTTACTACACATATACATAATGCCATATTCACGTCATATATAACACAAGAAATGCCACATATACACACATCAACACCATATGACACAATCGGCTTCGCATATACATCATACTTATATCAAATCCAGTGTATGATACACCATAGACAGCAAACGTACAGACATACATAACATGAGAAAAAGAATGAGCGTGTTGCAGTTGCCTTTGTTACAATTCGTACTGTTTATAATATTTTTATTTTTTTTATTTATTTTAAAATAATATATTTATTCTATATTATTACTCTTTTTCAACGGGTCACTAGAATGTTTAAACATGCACACTTCTGACTATCTATTTAAAATGATCTACGGGGCTATTCCAACAGTGGGAGATCTCGAGGTATTCCTTATTATTTCTTCCATATAGTGCTCCTATAAATAACCAAACCACACAAATCTTACAATGAAAATGCATTAGAAGCACGACCCATTATAAGGCGACGGCCCACAAGTCTTCTGCTTTTTTTCCTTTCTTTCCTGTTCTTCCCTTCTCCAGGTCTGCATAAACTTAATTGCTAAACGTATTACCCATCGATTACTCTTGGAAATCGCTGACTAGAGGACAGTCATGCCACCATCTGCACTCACCTCGGCCCCAGGGCCGCGTGCACTGTGACTTGGCCAATGGCCACAGCTGCCACCAGTTCATTATGCTCGAGCTTCAAAATGAGCAGGAGCAACCTGCCAAGCGGTCCTCAGTGTCATAGGGCTACAACAACAAGCGATCGTACGAACAAGTATTGAACACGACAGTGCTGTAAAGACATTCTTTGATGCATGGCATTTATGAAGAATGAAACAGTTTGTACATTGCTCAGGAATATAATAAATAATATCATAATATATACTATATATAATACATATATACAGTGTATACAATTCCTCACCGACACCACATTTGATCTTCCTGATTCCTAGGCACCAGGCTCCACACCAGCTGTCCAAAGCACCAATGGGTCCAACTCGAGCCAGGAGTTGGCTGAAACAGAAAGGTGAGACAGTCATTTAACAACGTTACCAAAATAATAATAATTCAAAAGTGGAAATGGGAGGGGGAAAAATGAACATATATTGGAATGATTTCAAATACATACAATCACAGTTTGCCACATTTCAACATCTTTCTGTCTGAGGTTTGGTCACAGACAGCTTAAAATTCAAACGCGATGAGGCATGTCCCTCATAGCATCTCATTTTGGTTTTTGCTGTTTAGAAAAATATTCCCCCCAATTTCTAACTAAGAGAAACATATTAATCGCCTTTTTTTTTTGAATGCTGATGGTTCACCGGACTTCATTTAAATCTTGATCTATCATGGATTTGTGTATGTGAAAGGAACATACGACAAATGACTAGCTATCTTAGTTCCCTTACATTGCATAATGAAAATGATCATGGCCACCTCCAGCCTATGCACACCTGACACGCTGGTTTATCTGCAACAGTCTAGCCTTCCATCAACTGAAACTTGAAATCTGCATGTGAGGCGCAATCAGCACTGTTAGACATATATTATAGATATCCTGATGCATTTTCATGCAGCCTGAAGAGCATACTTCCTGCCCCATAACGGCATGACATATGCTTTTTATCCTTATTCTCGAGAAGTTTAAACCGGTTGTTACTTTCAGATGGTAAGCAAATTTTCAACAGTTTATCCTCTGCACATAGAATGTTCACCATGTAAAACTCCACAGACTTGGAAAGAAGAGTAGGCATGGAGCTTCTAGCTAAATGACTGACCCTATCTAGCAGACGGACACCTCAGCATTGCCAGTAGCCGACTGGACAAGCGACAGGGGACACGGCAGCCTGTGATGCCCCATATGACAGACACCCGCACAGATTTGTTACAATTCACTGGTTTATAGACCATTGCAGGCCGGAGCTTTCCACTGCAGAGCCGTGATCCAGGATATCACATTGTCTTGAACCTGCGCGTCACGAGCATTTGAGTGGCATATGCAGAATTGGGAGAGTGTATTACCAGCAACCCATACACGCTCCACCGAAAACAATCTTAACTAAAACCAGACATCAGCAATGAGGTAACACTTTTCATAAAACAAGTAGGAAGAACAACAACTCTTGTAAAAGTGCATAGTTTGCCTCAGAAAATGGCAGGAAACACTTCCAAGAATGGCAGAAAAATTCTGGGTCACATTAGCATATAGGTGATGTGGTTTGGGGTATTTAACTTTTTTTTTTAAGTACAGTATTGCCTGTTTAATATAAGATATATAGAGAAAATGAAAAATGTCCTACTATGTTCCACATTGGCATTCTAAAAAGTAACGTGTTCCATCCAAGTTGTGGAGTCAACAGATAGGGACATTAAACAAAGTCCCTCCTCCCTTGCACTCGTTCCCATTTAGGCAACAACAAGTATGTCGATCTTGATTTTTTTCCATTTCAGAAAGCAACATACTACCAAGAACCAGTAATGATTTTCCATCTTAACAAGTGATCTTATATGACCTCTGACCATCTTGGTAGTTTCAACATTTATAAAATAGATTTGGCCCATGGCACAGTGCCACACCTGTAATCCATGCATTAATGAAGGAGCCACAGTGGGAGATCGCTGAGCCCAGACTCCAGGTGCAGAGCAAAATGATACATGTCACTGCAAACTCAAGGTTGCGGGTGCACAGAAGTACTTTGTGTATATAACAATATTTTAATTATTTTATATATAATTTTTTCGAAGACGGTCTCCCACCAGGTGCCTGGCTAGAGTGACCAATGGCCAGCCTAGCTCACAGCAACCATCAAACTCCTGGGCATCAGCA